GTTTTGCTTGGAAAATGCAAAGGAAAAAAGGAAACAAGTTTGATAAAAAAAAATGAGTTTTGGACAAATGTAAAAAAACAAATATATTGACTTCGAACCATTGCTTTACATTCCTGTATGTTTTCTTTTCTTCTAAATTCCCCCTATATTTTCCTTCCTATTTTATTTCCCAAACATTTTCTAAGTTCCAAATGAACCTTTTGCATTAAGCGATTAAATAATAAAAATTAGCATGTGTTTGGATAAACACCCTCTTAGTGCAAACAAATTCAGACAAAACTTCAAGAGTAAATTTTAAAATGTGCCTAGCTAAATACAGATAAGGGCTTGACCTCTTTATCCATGTCAATAGTCCTGAATTTGTCCCACTCCCCAACATTTGTCAAGCAAAATGGTGAGAGTGGCACGTCATCACCTTTCAAACAAAAATTCATACAATTAAGTAATATCAAAACAGAAATTTCAAATGTGAACAAAGAGCAATAAACCAAATGGTGTAAGGATATAGTTCACCCCATGGTGGTGGAGCAAATAAGCTTCTAATATCATTTGCACTCAACCGTGGAACCAACTCCATTAGCAAGCGATCATTCAACCATCTGCGAGATCTTCGGTTGCTGACCTGAGAAGAAACTGAAGAATGAATGATTTGTTGTCTATGAATTAACCTTTTATCTCACAAGTCAAATGTGAGTAGTAGCAGTGTTGTCAATCCTGGATAGTGGAGCATAGTGGTCTATCTCGAAAAAACTTACAATGACGTTAATAATTAAAATATCCGGAGTCTAAACATTAAAATAAAAAACAAGTTTCAGGATAAGTCTTGATACATTAACCTCATAGAAGAGCAGAAGTCCAACTAGAAAACACTAATGGTAGAAGTCCAACTAGAAAACACTAATGATAGTCTTGATACATTAACCTCATTATTTTTTAGCTTGAGATTATGATGGAATAAAGCAAAATGGCTCACTAAACTGTCTGCGTTTCTTTGTTATGAAGCAACAGTCAATTCATGCAATTTTGGACGTGATTTTCACAATGGGTCATCTGGAAACAGTCTCTCTGTGCTTTAGTACAGGGGTAAGACTGTGTACGTCCGACCCCCCGTTACCCCACCGTAGGTGGGAGCCTTTGCGGCACTGGGGTAAATGAAAATGAAAATGAATGAATGGTAGAAGTCCAAAATTTCTAATGCTTAGAAAACACTAAGCAGAGAAAAGGAGTCCGGCAGAGAGTGGTCATTCTTGTTGAAGTGAAGCAGAGAAGCAGAGACTGGTCATCAAAAATGTTGTGAGTCTCAACACAATGCATAGAAGATGCAGAGAGGAAACGAGATTGTTTTGGAGGGCGGGATGGGTTTTATGTACTTATAAGGGTTTTAATGGGGTTAACATTTATAATAAAAAACCCTTATCCCTTTAGTACCTCTGAAAAACAATAACTATTCCAGGATATCCTAACTGATGCGCATAAAATTTGAGAACAGAGTAATGTCCCTGGGGTGTCCGCAACAACAGCGACATGCCCTCTGCCCCTCTGTAGCGGTCGCTATTCCCGTTACACCCAAATGCTCCGCTACATAGGATCTTGTGGCACTCAGCTACTTCTCTGCTCCGCTACGTAGGGATCTTGTAGCACCCAGCTACTGCTGTGCTCCTCGACGTTGCTATACCACACTTTTTACTTCACAGAGCAGTAGTAGACTGAAGACTCATAAAAACATGCTAAATTTCCAAAATAATGTACAGGTAAACACCGTTAATATTTTCTAGAGTTTCATTTGTTCATTTGTTCATGAGTTGAGTAATGCATTCACAACAAGAGGATCAATGTTTCATTTGGGAATATCGTGTCATGTGCACCTTGAACCCCTCAATGCTATATAAACCGATATTTCGTATACTAAAACACAAATAATTAGTCACTTTAATACGCCTAGATTGATGCTAGCCGGATCCAGACCAATGAATGTCCAGGTTTTTTATTTGGGTGATTCTGAGCAAGTCACAACAACAACAACATCCAAGCTTTAGTCCCAAAAGATTTTGGAGTCTGATTTCGACACTTCTGAGCAAGTGGTGAATTAAAATTTAGAGCCTCCATAAAAGTTTATCCTTCCTGAATTAATTAACCAAATAGATTCACAACTTTCCTAAACAAGTGCCTATATTCAGGTATTTCAGGCAAGTAGTCCATCTCTTCACAATAATATCTCTTAGTAAGTAGAAGATTTAAGAAGTACTTAAAGTACATTTGGTGCTAGGCTCTCAAGGCACTCGATCCTCTTCTCAATGGACATGCCTGGAAACTTCACACTTTCCCCTGCATTTAATCCTCAGAGAAAAGTTAGTTATTCCTGAAAACTAAGAACATGACAATCTTTTAAAGAAAAATAAACCGAATTACACTCCCTGCAGAAGCAACCGGTCCAAACTAAAAACATAAAAAAAAGGTTTGTATACAATCCATACTGAAAGACAAAAATGGAAGGATTGAATATGGTGCTCTGGAGCAGAGCAAAAATGTTGTAATGGCAAAAGATTTTGGTATTTTACCCTTGGGGTTATCAAAGCGGGACCACATCATAAGAATATCTTCTTCTCTCTTTAAAACCTCCGAACTCGCCATTATTTTTCAGCTGCTAAACTTTTACCTGAAGTCTGGTTAGATAGAAACAGATGAAAAGAAGAGGTGGAAAAGGTATATACCGGAGGTCCGGAACAACAGAAAACTACAGAAGAGAACGGCGACGTTAGATGAAATTGGGAGACTAGGGTTCTTTCAGGTGTAGTCAGTCAGATTTACATTTTTTACTACTTCCTTTGTTCCAAAATAAAAGACACATATTCTTTTTTGGGCTATCCAATATAAAACGTACATTTCCTTTTGGGGATTCTGAGCCTGTTTGGAGACCTCTGTTTTCGGCTTATCAGGCTTATCAGCCAGCTTTTTCACCAAACACGTAACTTTTACTTTCGCGCGCTGAATTGTGTAATAAGCCGAAAAAGTAAGGTTGGAGTTACTTTTCTGGCTGTATTGGCTGAAGTTACTGTAGATGACCATTTTAGCTATTTTTACATATAATTTTTTCTTTATTTTATTAATAAAATACATTTTTAAAATATTTTTTTCTTAAATCAGCAGAATCAGCCAAAACAGCCACTTCAGCCAAAATATCATAAATTTCAGCAGAATCAGCCAAAACAGCCAATTTTGGTGCTACCAAACGGGCTCTGTATATACAGCCACAAAATTGCTATTTGCAGTCATCTAATTAAATATAAATAAATAAAATTATTTCATGGTCTAATTTACCCTTATGTAAATATATCACAACCCATCGCTGCTTTAATTCATCCAAGTAGGTCTTTGTCTTAATCATCGATCGCACAATACACCCGCTGCCATCAACCATTCTCGCACCTCCCCTCATTCAAATTTGCCTTCTCGAAGAATTGGAGTAGAACTGTCAAGTTGTTTCTTCTGACCTGCTTCAAATTGTTGTTTCTAGCATTTGAATATGTGTTGCAATCAACACGGTTTATCAGTAGTCATCACCTCTCACTAATTGCAGTAATCATGGAAAGTGTAAGATTCTAATTCCCTTCATGTTTATAAGTAATGATAAAAACATGCAGTGATTCAGAGTGTCCAAATACACCTTTTTTCATGATTCTAGAATAAAAACCTGCAGTAATCATGTTGAAATATTGGTATTATAGGGGATCATGATTCTATTTCCATTTATTATGAGTGTTTAATTTGCAATTTTTGTTGATACTAGAAATAACTATTCTATCCACTAAATTTCATAGTTATAAATTGTAATTTTTGTTGGGTCATATTAAATGGTGTTCATCATCTCTATTGTAATGGTCAAGCCATTAACAAATATCTCAGCTTATTACTTCTCATGTCATGACTCATACCTTTGTCTATCCATTTTAGCTTAAAAAAGAGAACACAGATGACATGAGCAGTGCAGAACAACAAGATGTCAAGTCACAGGTATATCTTATTAATAGTGAAAAATCAACTTATTTTACCATATTTCTTAATTGCTTCTTCCCATGACAGGATTTAAATTATGCAAATGACTTGGATTTGTGGAGTTCCGTTGCTGCTTTTTCTACGGATAAAGTAAGTAAATCATCATGTAATATATATGGTATATGGTTCAAAATATGTATATATATCATATAATTGAAGTAATTTACATTGCAGGTATTTAACAGTAAATATGAATTAATTACATGGGCCAGAGAAACTGGGAAGAACACAGGTTATGTAATTGTGATTGTTTCTTCTTCATCGGGAGATGATGGGAAAAAAGCGAGACTACGACTTGGCTGTGAACGTGGTGGGACTTACAGAACTCCTAAGAAACTAATTAACAAAGAGGCACGACGTCGCAAGGGGACAGGAACAAAAAAATGGGTGTCCATTTAAGTTACAGGGCGTGAAATTAGAAACGGATGATGATTGGGAAGTAAAAATTCAGTGTGGATATCATAATCATCCACCTGTAGAAAACCTTGAGGGTCACGCTTTTACCGGGAGATTAAGTAAAGAGGAGAACACCATACTCTTAGATATGACGAAAAATATGGTCAAACCAAGAAACATACTAGTGACTATAAAAGCGAAGGACAAAAAGAACACAACTACAATGAAGACGATATATAATGCTCGTCACAAACATAAAATGCTTGAGAAAGCTGGAAGATCACAAATGCAGCAACTTATGAAAAGATTGGGTGATTTTGGGTATGTGGAATGGCATAGGAGAAACGAGTCAACTGACTGTGTAAGAGACTTGTTTTGGGCGCACCCGTTTTCTATAGATATTTTGAATGCCTTTCCGTTGGTTTTACTTATGGATTGTACTTACAAAACAAATCGATATGGTCTTCCGCTATTAGAGATTGTAGGTGTGACATGCACAGACCTTACTTTTTCAGTAGCGTTCGTCTACATGGAAGCTGAGCGTGAAGATAACTACACATGGGCAATGGAAAAATTAAAAACATTGATGATATCAAGTACCATGCCTAGTGTAATTGTGACCGACAGAGACTTGGCGTTTATGAAATCTGTTAAGAAAGTCTTTCCTGAAACAACAAATCTTTTATGTAGGTTTCATATCTCAAAAAATGTCCTTGCCCATTCAAGAAAGTTGTTTGAACTCAAAGAGGATTCTGATAAATTCATGGCAGCCTGGAGTGTTCTTGTATTCTCTGCAAATGAGAGTGAGTATGCTAGAAACTTATTTGCTATTGAAAGTGACTACGAAGGTTATCCAAGTCTTCTCAAGTATGTGAGGGATACATGGTTACTTCCATATAAAGAGAGATTTGTAGCAGCTTGTGTCACGCCCCGGACCTCCCCGGACACGTCAACAACCCGCCGTACAATATGAATAGTCAACCGCAGTCCAACACGTTCATATTATACAAGGCGTCTAGAATATCACTCACACGCAAGCCATCCATAAACAACATAATAAGCAATCGAATACGTAGCGGAAAACATAGTTTGAAAACAAATGCCACACGTGGCTAACATGAGCACGCAGGCTCTATAGTAAAATATTCATGAGCATGTTTGTTAATGTTTAAAAACCGAATGGAGGAAGCACGAACCAAGTCTTCCCTCCTAGATGATCTCTCGAGCAACGAGCACAGGAAGCAAGCTCTAGCCTCAACCTGAAAAATGGTGGTGGGACGCCCCCGAAGGGGTCAGCACTCTATAGGGCTATAAAGTGCTGGTGTGGATGGCATCTAATAGATATACAACAAGTATTTCAAACACAAGACCCTCAAATAGGGTGATAATATAATCTAGGCCGTAATCCCAAGTTACCCCGTTTTTAAAATATACTTACTTTATATATAAAGTCAAGTAGTCGGCCCGTAGGCCCAAGGTTTGTTTATCAAACATAGCCCAAACCCCGTGACCCCTAGTCACAACAATATATAGGGTCCAACCCTAACACATATATTTGCATTCTCGAGTCCAACTCGACTACATCACCATGCACCTTAGTTAACCCGAGTTAACTACTCCCATCGTGTCTGCCTTAGGCACGATCGTGCCTGGGCTGGGGAAATTCCTGGGCAGCTACTTACTTGGAGGCACGATCGTGTCTGCCTTAGGCACGATCGTGCCTGGGTTCCAGCCGCCTGAAGTTGCCCGAAATCCCCCGGTTTGACCCCAAAACCTTGTGCAATGATCCTAGCGATTAGTAACCTCAATTTATGGACTAATTAAGGATAAAACACTAGCATACGAGAGGCAATACCTGCAACGGAATCCGGGTTAGCTTGAGCATCCGCCTCCGTCATCGCGTAGACCCTAGCTTGAGTCCTTCCTTGATTCACGGACGGCGCATTGCTTGCGCTTGCTCCCCCTTGCCCCCTGGACGCTTGTGAAGTCCCGGCTTGATTCCGTGTCCCGGTATTACCACTAATTGGTCCCGATGACCTTGCCCCACCCAATTGTGGGCAATTCATCTTCAAGTGCCCGGTGTTTCCGCATTGATAGCATCTAGGAGGGTCACGACATTTCCCCAGGTGGTTCCTCTTGCAATTCTTGCAACGAGTCCCCCCCGAGGCTTGTGATTGCCCGCCCGGGCCTTGACTTCCCCTAGATGGCAGTGGGGGTGTCCGAAAGGATCCTCCTCCCCCATGGTTCCCCTTTTTGCTAGGACCTTGAGGTCCATGGTTCTCCCACTTTCTCTTCTTCGCCTCTTCGGCGTTTTTCAACTTTCTCTCTTCCCATTCCTTCTCTCCTTTCAACCCTTGCTCGACCACTTGGCTAAAGGTCATGTTAGGCAACTGTGTTGCCCTCTCACGCACCTCCAGGTCTAAGGCATCCCAGAAGTGATTTACCATCCGGTTCTCGTCACAGACATACTCCGGTATGAACTCCGCGAGCTCCCTGAATTTATGTTCAAGTTGCCTCACCGTCATCTTGCCACCTTGGGTCAGGAGGGTATACTCTCTCCTTTTAGCGTTCACCTCAAAATCAGAATAATACTGGGCAAAGAACTCCTCTCGGAAATTCTCCCAAGTCACGGTATTGCCATACTTTCCCTTGGCTCCATCCCACCATGTGGATGCCATCCCTTCAAGCAATCTCACCGCCACCCTTACTTTAAATTCGGGGGTGAGTTGCATATCAAGGGCTGCCTCGTTCAACCTCTTGATCCATTCCGCGGCGACCGAGATGTCGCCTGCTCCGTTGAAGGGTTTGCACCCCAAGTCCCTAGCCTCTTTAAGAAATTTTGAGATCCTTATGATTGGACCTCCATCACCCCGGCCCCCATGTGGTTCAATGTGGGCCCGAGAATCGCCATGGCTTCTTCCTCTTGAAGCCTCACCCGAAATTCGCCCTCCCCGGCGCCTTCGGCGTTCCCTCCTTTCCTCGCGCTCCCGTTGATATTGTTGGAGCAGCGCCTCTATTCTTGCTAGGGAGTCATTCTCCCCCTCTTCATCGCTCACATCATTGTCATCCCCTTCGTAAGGGGTCTCAACCGGCTCGGTTTCCGGTTGGTAAGTCGAGTCCTCATAGGACCAGTAGGTTTCACTTTCTGTGTCGACATGACCGTCACTCACGGTCTGTGATCGGCCTCCACGGCCAGCTCCTCTAGATGCCCTAGAGGTCCTTCGACTGCCCTGTCCAGTCTCCTCTGGTACACGGCCGGTCGGGTTTCTCCTAGTAATCCTGCCACCACGGTCCATTTCTGAAAGAAATTGGGAAAGAGTCGTTAGACTCGTATCAAATGTCAATTGACGGATAGGTACTTAAGACACATTTTGGCTCGAGTCACTGCCATACCAATTGCTAAGGGTACCATCTTAACAATTAGAGACCTTGCAACCCAAGTACCAAAAGCTCTCCAAGTACAAAACTTCTATGCTCATGGTTTTCAAAATCTTTTCAAAAAGAGAATTTTGAGACTTCATTATGAAGTTTTATGGACTAAGGCTCTGATACCAACTTAATTGTCACGCCCCGGACCTCCCCGGACACGTCAACAACCCGCCGTACAATATGAATAGTCAACCGCAGTCCCACACGTTCATATTATACAAGGCGTCTAGAATATCACTCACACGCAAGCCATCCATAAACAACATAATAAGCAATCGAATACGTAGCGGAAAACATAGTTTGAAAACAAATGCCACACGTGGCTAACATGAGCACGCAGGCTCTATAGTAAAATATTCATGAGCATGTTTGTTAATGTTTAAAAACCGAATGGAGGAAGCACGAACCAAGTCTTCCCTCCTAGATGATCTCTCGAGCAACGAGCACAGGAAGCAAGCTCTAGCCTCAACCTGAAAAATGGTGGTGGGACGCCCCCGAAGGGGTCAGCACTCTATAGGGCTATAAAGTGCTGGTGTGGATGGCATCTAATAGATATACAACAAGTATTTCAAACACAAGACCCTCAAATAGGGTGATAATATAATCTAGGCCGTAATCCCAAGTTACCCCGTTTTTAGAATATACTTACTTTATATATAAAGTCAAGTAGTCGGCCCGTAGGCCCAAGGTTTGTTTATCAAACATAGCCCAAACCCCGTGACCCCTAGTCACAACAATATATAGGGTCCAACCCTAACACATATATTTGCATTCTCGAGTCCAACTCGACTACATCACCATGCACCTTATTTAACCCGAGTTAACTACTCCACCATGCATTTCTTGAGTCCAACTCAACTACATCACCATGCACAATAATCACCCCATCATGTCTACCCAATGCAATTCTATGAGCGCGGCTCAAGTACATCTCCTTACATTGGCATAGACCCCAATTCCTAAGCATTCGCTATGCCTAGATTTGTAATATCAATAATCTATTTTGGGACATCCTTACGGACTGCCCATCCATGGTCTTAGCATCACATTACATCAATTTAGTCACTTGCATCACAATCAAGTTCATCAATTACAATCAAATCCTTAGATTCAATTCTTCAACAATTACAACAATCATTAACTAGTATTTCAATACTATTAAGATTATTCTTATCCATCATATATTCCATTTGTAAAACCCTACATATTTAGAGATATGTAGCAGCAACTTAATCATTCAATGTAATACATAAATAATCATTTATGTATCTACACAATTCACACATGAGTAAAATGTCTATTTCACACAATAGTTCATTTAACTCCATTTTCATCAATACTTTACCAAATCATTTCCCATTTCATTCTTTGGAAAATAGATCAATATTCCATCAATAATTTATCATCATAATCCATGGAAAACATTATTTAGGCATTTAGGTAATCTCATGCTTAACCTACAAGTTGTAAGCAACTAGATGTCGATCCTCACCTCAAATGAGCTTTAAAACTTTCCTCCTCGATCCAATGACTAAAGCCTCGGCCAAGGAAGCTTGAGAACTGATTCCTTGCTTAGAAAATGGGTGTTAAACAGCCTCCTCAAGTGCTAGTTCAACCCTTAATCGTCGGTACGAAAACAGCCCCTAGAATGGGTGTTTTCCGGTTAACTCGTTTCCTAGTTTTCCAAGATTTGCTCTAGATTAGTATCTAACCTTTACATCAATAAAATAACTTTATGGGGACATATTATGCACTTTTATTAGTGTACAATAGTTCCACCAATCGTTCATATCATTTGGAAAATGAATGGAAAGGTTTTGGGATTAACAACTCACTTAGAAGAGTAAATCCGTTCCTGCGAGGTCGCGTTCTGCTCGGACGATTTGGAAGCCTTCCTCTACTCCGATTGATGCAAACCAGACCTTCACGGATTCCTCGTCTTGAGAGATTTCTTTTGGTATCTCACACGCCTTAATTGGATTGGTAAAACTCGAGATATCAACCAAACAGTCTCAGCACTCTCACATCTCGAGTTCACAGACCACTGCTCGTTCCAGATCGATTTTTGGATGATTACTCTCTCCTCTCGAACAGAGACCACTCAATTATAAAAATAGACTTCAAAAGCTATCCAAGGACACCTCATTCACCTTGTTTGGCCGAGTATAACATCACTCATGAAGGGAGACAACCAGCACCACTCTTTTGTGCGAAAATTGACTAGGTGGGATTCCCTCTTGTTTCCTTTGTCAAGTCCAGCCCCTAGAGTCAGCTATGGCAGTCTCCTAACCTTATTTGTCTTGTCTTGCAGGTGGAAAAGAAAGGATGGGGCGCAGCATGTGTTCCCCAATTATTTTTTGGGAGCAAAACATTAATCAATACATCCAAAAATGGAAGAATGGGTCATATTGTTTTATCTTTTGTCAAAGATGTCTTTTTGTACTCATCCTAACTTATTTAGAACAAGTCAACTTCCTACATAACATTATTGATCTCCAATATGTGTAGGCTCATCTCAATAATTTACTTGATGGATAATATAGAAGGAAAATCCTACTCCCATTATTTGGCTCAATAATGCCAAAGATGGGGTTATAGGCATTTGTACTTTTCTTTAATCATCCTATCACTTATTTTGACATTGTCATTCATATTATTGGGCTACAAGCCGTGTGGGTCGCCCCGAGTGGGCCTACGACGCCGTCCTCAAATATTTGCTATTTTAGCGGGTTGAGCCCAAAATAATATATGGGCTGCCCGCCCTTCCTCAACTTGTCTTGAAACGTTGTGTATAACTATTTAGATACTGCTAGGATCTTTTATTTATTAATAAGGCCCAAACGAGTATTCGCAAGCCCAACAATAATGTACGAGTTCGAGCGGTATAATAATCGATCATGAATTACGTAAAACATCAATCGTTTTACAATTGTTTGGGAATCAGAAATCCAATACATAAACTTTGAATTTTAAAAATCAAATTTTCAAGGACGTTCGGGTGCGGTGTCACAAGTTCACCCCCCCTTAACAGGAATTTCGTCCCCGAAATTCACAGCTCTACTCGAATAGGAAAGCATACTGTTTCCTCATCAAGGCCTCTGTTTCCCATGTCTCTTCTTCGACCCGGTCGCTCTTCCAAAGGACTTTAACCATCGGGACTTCTTTGCTCCTCAGTTTCTTCACCTTCCTATCGGTGACCTTGATTGGTTGCACAGCGTAGTTCAAATCCTCACGTACCTCCACAGGCGGCTTTTCTAATACGTGAGAGGGATCATGCACATACTTCTTAAGCATGGATACATGAAACACATTGTGTATCTTCTCTAACTCAGGAGTCAACTGTAGACGATATGCTACGGACCCAATCCTCTCTATAATTCTGAATGGACCTATATATCGTGGGTTAAGTTTTCCTCGGGTTTGAAATCGAATGATTCCCTTCCAAGGAGAAACTTTCAAGAATACCTCGTCATCAACCTTAAACTCTAAGGTTCTTCGACGCTTATCTGCATAACTCTTTTGTCTATCCTGAGCCGCTTTGAGTCTCTCTCGAATCAATTTCACCTTTGATTTGGTGACCTCAACTAACTCAGTACCCTCGAGTTTGGCCATGCCAACTTCGTCCCAGCATAACGGTGTACGACACCTCCTCCCATACAATGCCTCGTATGGAGGCATGCCGATGCTTGCCTGATAACTGTTGTTATAGGCGAACTCCACAAGTGTTAAGTGGTTGTCCCAACTTCCTTGGAACTCCAATGCACAAGCCCTCAGCATGTCTTCCAAGATCTGTATGACTCTTTCAGACTGCCCATCCGTCTGTGGGTGGAAAGCAGTACTGAACTTCAACCTCGTTCCCATAGACTCCTGAAATTTCGGCCAAAAACGTGATGTGAATCGTGGGTCTCTATCAGATACAATGGTCACTGGGACCCCATGCAGCCTCACGATCTCATCCGTATACAATTTGGCTAACCTCTCAAGTGGGTAGGTAGTGTTGATAGGCAAGAAATGTGCACTCTTCGTGAGCCTATCCACAACAACCCAAACTGCATCATAGTTCCGAATTGTCCGTGGTAAACCTACCACGAAGTCCATTGTCACATGTTCCCACTTCCATTCAGGAATGGAAAGTGGTTGTAACAAGCCTGCTGGATGCTGATGTTCTGCCTTAACTTGTTGACAAGTAAGGCATCGACTGATGTACTCGGCTATCTCCCTCTTCATTCCAGACCACCAGTAACTTTCTTTCAAATCACGGTACATTTTCGTGCCCCCCGGGTGCATGGCATAAGCCGATGAATGAGCCTCCTCTAAGATGGACTTTCGGAGCTCATCATCTGACGGTACACACACTCGGTCACGAAATAACAAGAGACCATCATCTCTTTCCCTGAAATCCTCCACCGGTCCCGCTTGCATGCGTTCCCGGATCTTTATAATTTCTTCGTCAGCTTCCTGACCCTTCTTGATCTCATCAAGTAAGGTAGGTCTCACCTCAAATCGTGCCAATAAGGCACCATCGCTAGATACCTCCAGTTGGGCTCTTAATGCCCTCAAATTAGCTAGCAATGCCCCAGGCGAGCTCTTCCGGCTCAAGGCATCTGACACCACGTTTTCCTTGCCTGGGTGATACTCTATCACTAGATGGTAGTCTTTTATCAACTCCATCCACCGTCTCTGTCTCATGTTTAGCTCCTTCTGAGTAAACACGTATTTCAAGCTCTTGTGATCAGTGTATATGTGACATGTCTCCCCGTAGAGATAATGTCTCCATATCTTCAGTGCAAACACCACAGCTCCCAGCTCCAGGTCATGGGTAGGGTAATTTACCTCATGCTTCTTCAACTGTCGTGAAGCATAGGCAATTACTCTCCCCTCCTGCATCAACACACACCCAAACCCTTGGATGCTCGCATCGCTATAGACATCGTACCCCACACCCTGTTTGGGTAATGCAAGTACCGGTGCCTCGGTCAATCTCTTCTTTAGTTCCATGAACCCTTTCTCACATTTGTCATCCCATACAAACTTAGCTCCCTTACGAGTGAGCTTCGTCAATGGTGATGCCAAAACAGAGAACTTTTCCACGAACTTTCTGTAATAGCCTGCCAATCCAAGGAAACTACGAATTTCCTTGACATTCTTTGGTCTCTCCCATTCAGTAATGGCTTCTATCTTCTTGTTATCAACAGCAATTCCCGATCCTGAAACCACGTGCCCGAGAAAGCCAATTTTCTTTAGCCAAAATTCACATTTAGAAAATTTGGCATAAAGTTGCTTCTCCCGTAGTGTCTCAAGAACAAGTATCAAATGCTCCTCGTGCTCTTCTTCACTCTTCGAGTAAATCAAGATATCATCTATGAACACAATCACGAACCGATCCAAGTATTTATGGAATACTCGGTTCATCAAGTCCATGAATGCCGCTGGGGCGTTTGTTAACCCAAACGACATAACAAGGAACTCAAAATGCCCATACCTTGTGCGGAAAGCACTCTTTGGTATGTCGTCTTCCTTAATCTTCAATTGATGGTAACCCGACCTCAAGTCAATCTTCGAAAACACGGTTGCTCCTCGTAGTTGATCAAACAAGTCATCAATCCTAGGCAAGGGATACCTATTCTTGATTGTGACCTTGTTCAGTTGACGATAGTCAATGCACATTCGAAGTGTCCCATCTTTCTTCTTCACAAAAAGAACTGGTGCTCCCCACGGGGAGTGGCTTGGTCTAATGAAACCATTATCCAAAAGCTCTTGCAATTGGGTTTTCAACTCGTTAAGTTCAGCGGGTGCCATACGGTATGGCGGTATGGAGATTGGTTTGGTGCCGGGCTCGATCTCGATCACAAATTCAATCTCTCTATCGGGTGGAAGTCACGGTAAATCTTTTGGAAAGACATCCGGATACTTACAAACCACCCTCACATCGTCGATGTTCGTTTCTTCTTTGGTTTTGTCAACCACGTATGCTAGATATGCGTGGCATCCCTTTCTCATCATACTTCTCGCTCTCACGGCGGATATGATACAGCTATTTGATCTCCCTCGATCGCCCTCGAAGCGTAGGGTCTCCCCATCATTGCCTTCGAGTTCAAGAACCTTCGTGTAGCAATCTACCCTAGCATGGTTCCTTTCTAGCCAATCCATCCCTAGGATTGCATCGAATTCAATCATGCTCAGCGGTACGAAGTCACACGTCAAGGTTTGACCATTAACCTCCACCCCACAAGATGGATAGTAACAAGTTCTTTCCACGTCGTCCCCTAGTGGTGTTGATACCACTAAGGTTTGCATCAATGGTGCGGATTGCACTCCCAATCTCTTGGCGAACGCTTCATTCACAAATGAACGTTGCGCCCCGGTATCGATAAGGATTCGCGCATCCTTCCCATTAATCTTTAGTGTTCCTACATTCATGAACCGTGTAAGACATCTTTCCTACCCTCCCTACTCATTTATAGAAGGTTACAATGTTCACACGCACGTTAGGGATCAAGAAAAGGTCTTAACGTCGCAAAACGGTGCGAAAAATCGCACTTCGGCAATCTGGGTGCCAGGCACGGCGTGCCTGGGGTAGGCACGATCGTGCCTGGCTCAGGAAAAAGCCCTGGGGGCTACTGCCTTGGAGGCACGATCGTGCCTGGTTTGGGGAAACACCTGGGGAGCTACTGCCTTGTAGGCACGATCGTGTCTGCCTTAGGCACGATCGTGCCTGGGCTGGGGAAATTCCTGGGCAGCTACTGACTTGGAGGCACGATCGTGTCTGCCTTAGGCACGATCGTGCCTGGGTTCCAGCCGCCTGAAGTTGCCCGAAATCCCCCGGTTTGACCCCAAAACCTTGTGCAATGATCCTAGCGATTAGTAACCTCAATTTATGGACTAATTAAGGATAAAACACTAGCATACGAGAGGCAATACCTGCAACGGAATCCGGGTTAGCTTGAGCATCCGCCTCCGTCATCGCGTAGACCCTAGCTTGAGTCCTTCCTTGATTCACGGACGGCGCATTGCTTGCGCTTGCTCCCCCTTGCCCCCTGGACGCTTGTGAAGTCCCGGCTTGATTCCGTGTCCCGGTATTACCACTACTTGGTCCCGATGACCTTGCCCCACCCAATTGTGGGCAATTCATCTTCAAGTGCCCGGTGTTTCCGCATTGATAACATCTAGGAGGGTCACGACATTTCCCCAGGTGGTTCCTCTTGCAATTCTTGCAACGAGTCCCCCCCGAGGCTTGTGATTGCCCGCCCGGGCCTTGACTTCCCCTAGATGGCAGTGGGGGTGTCCGAAAGGATCCTCCTCCCCCATGGTTCCCCTTTTTGCTAGGACCTTGAGGTCCATGGTTCTCCCACTTTCTCTTCTTCGCCTCTTCGGCGTTTTTCAACTTTCTCTCTTCCCATTCCTTCTCTCCTTTCAACCCTTGCTCGACCACTTGGCTAAAGGTCATGTTAGGCAACTGTGTTGCCCTCTCACGCACCTCCAGGTCTAAGGCATCCCAGAAGTGATTTACCATCCGGTTCTCGTCACAGACATACTCCGGTATGAACTCCGCGAGCTCCCTGAATTTATGTTCAAGTTGCCTCACCGTCATCTTGCCACCTTGGGTCAGGAGGGTATACTCTCTCCTTTTAGCGTTCACCTCAAAATCAGAATAATACTGGGCAAAGAACTCCTGTCGGAAATTCTCCCAAGTCACGGTATTGCCATACTTTCCCTTGGCTCCATCCCACCATGTGGATGCCATCCCTTCAAGCAATCTCACCGCCACCCTTACTTTAAATTCGGGGGTGAGTTGCATATCAAGGGCTGCCTCGTTCAACCTCTTGATCCATTCCGCGGCGACCGAGATGTCGCCTGCTCCGTTGAAGGGTTTGCACCCCAAGTCCCTAGCCTCTTTAAGAAATTTTGAGATCCTTATGATTGGACCTCCATCACCCCGGCCCCCATGTGGTTCAATGTGGGCCCGAGAATCGCCATGGCTTCTTCCTCTTGAAGCCTCACCCGAAATTCGCCCTCCCCGGCGCCTTCGGCGTTCCCTCCTTTCCTCGCGCTCCCGTTGATATTGTTGGAGCAGCGCCTCTATTCTTGCTAGGGAGTCATTCTCCCCCTCTTCATCGCTCACATCATCGTCATCCCCTTCGTAAGGGGTCTCAACCGGCTCGGTTTCCGGTTGGTAAGTCGAGTCCTCATAGGACCAGTAGGTTTCACTTTCTGTGTCGACATGACCGTCACTCACGGTCTGTGATCGGCCTCCACGGCCAGCTCCTCTAGATGCCCTAGAGGTCCTTCGACTGCCCTGTCCAGTCTCCTCTGGTACACGGCCGGTCGGGTTTCTCCTAGTAATCCTGCCACCACGGTCCATTTCTGAAAGAAATTGGGAAAGAGTCGTTAGACTCGTATCAAATGTCAATTGACGGATAGGTACTTAAGACACATTTTGGCTCGAGTCACTGCCATACCAATTGCTAAGGGTACCATCTTAACAATTAGAGACCTTGCAACCCAAGTACCAAAAGCTCTCCAAGTACAAAACTTCTATGCTCATGGTTTTCAAAATCTTTTCAAAAAGAGAATTTTGAGACTTCATTATGAAGTTTTATGGACTAAGGCTCTGATACCAACTTAATTGTCACGCCCCGGACCTCCCCGGACACGTCAACAACCCGCCGTACAATATGAATAGTCAACCGCAGTCCCACACGTTCATATTATACAAGGCGTCTAGAATATCACTCACACGCAAGCCATCCATAAACAACATAATAAGCAATCGAATACGTAGCGGAAAACATAGTTTGAAAACAAATGCCACACGTGGCTAACATGAGCACGCAGGCTCTATAGTAAAATATTCATGAGCATGTTTGTTAATGTTTAAAAACCGAATGGAGGAAGCACGAACCAAGTCTTCCCTCCTAGATGATCTCTCGAGCAACGAGCACAGGAAGCAAGCTCTAGCCTCAACCTGAAAAATGGTGGTGGGACGCCCCCGAAGGGGTCAGCACTCTATAGGGCTATAAAGTGCTGGTGTGGATGGCATCTAATAGATATACAACAAGTATTTCAAACACAAGACCGTCAAATAGGGTGATAATATAATCTAGGCCGTAATCCCAAGTTACCCCGTTTTTAAAATATACTTACTTTATATATAAAGTCAAGTAGTCGGCCCGTAGGCCCAAGGTTTGTTTATCAAACATAGCCCAAACCCCGTGACCCCTAGTCACAACAATATATAGGGTCCAACCCTAACACATATATTTGCATTCTCGAGTCCAACTCGACTACATCACCATGCACCTTATTTAACCCGAGTTAACTACTCCACCGTGCATTTCTTGAGTCCAACTCAACTACATCACCATGCACAATAATCACCCCATCATGTCTACCCAATGCAATTCTATGAGCGCGGCTCAAGTACATCTCCTTACATTGGCATAGACCCCAATTCCTAAGCATTCGCTATGCCTAGATTTGTAATATCAATAATCTATTTTGGGACATCCTTACGGACTGCCCATCCATGGTCTTAGCATCACATTACATCAATTTAGTCACTTGCATCACAATCAAGTTCATCAATTACAATCAAATCCTTAGATTCAATTCTTCAACAATTACAACAATCATTAACTAGTATTTCAATACTATTAAGATTATTCTTATCCATCATATATTCCATTTGTAAAACCCTACATATTTAGAGATATGTAGCAGCAACTTAATCATTCAATGTAATACATAAATAATCATTTATGTATCTACACAATTCACACATGAGTAAAATGTCTATTTCACACAATAGTTCATTTAACTCCATTTTCATCAATACTTTACCAAATCATTTCCCATTTCATTCTTTGGAAAATAGATCAATATTCCATCAATAATTTATCATCATAATCCATGGAAAACATTATTTAGGCATTTAGGTAATCTCATGCTTAACCTACAAGTTGTAAGCAACTAGATGTCGATCCTCACCTCAAATGAGCTTTAAAACTTTCCTCCTCGATCCAATGACTAAAGCCTCGGCCAAGGAAGCTTGAGAACTGATTCCTTGCTTAGAAAATGGGTGTTAAACAGCCTCCTCAAGTGCTAGTTCAACCCTTAATCGTTGGTACGAAAACAGCCCCTAGAATGGGTGTTTTCCGGTTAACTCGTTTCCTAGTTTTCCAAGATTTGCTCTAGATTAGTATCTAACCTTTACATCAATAAAATAACTTTATGGGGACATATTATGCACTTTTATTAGTGTACAATAGTTCCACCAATCGTTCATATCATTTGGAAAATGAATGGAAAGGTTTTGGGATTAACAACTCACTTAGAAGAGTAAATCCGTTCCTGCGAGGTCGCGTTCTGCTCGGACGATTTGGAAGCCTTCCTCTACTCCGATTGATGCAAACCAGACTTTCACGGATTCCTCGTCTTGAGAGCTTTCTTTTGGTATCTCACACGCCTTAATTGGATTGGTAAAACTCGAGATATCAACCAAACAGTCTCAGCACTCTCACATCTCGAGTTCACAGACCACTGCTCGTTCCAGATCGATTTTTGGATGATTACTCTCTCCTCTCGAACAGAGACCACTCAATTATAAAAATAGACTTCAAAATCTATCCAAGGACACCTCATTCACCTTATTTGGCCGAGTATAACATCACTCATGAAGGGAGACAACCAGCACCACTCTTTTGTGCGAAAATTGACTAGGTGGGGTTCCCTCTTGTTTCCTTTGTCAAGTCCAGCCCCTAGAGTCAGCTATGGCAGTCTCCTAACCTTATTTGTCTTGTCTTGCAGGTGGAAAAGAAAGGATGGGGCGCAGCATGTGTTCCCCAATTATTTTTTGGGAGCAAAACATTAATCAATACATCCAAAAATGGAAGAATGGGTCATATTGTTTTATCTTTTGTCAAAGATGTCTTTTTGTACTCATCCTAACTTATTTAGAACAAGTCAACTTCCTACATAACATTATTGATCTCCAATATGTGTAGGCTCATCTCAATAATTTACTTGATGGATAATATAGAAGGAAAATCTTACTCCCATTATTTGGCTCAATAATGCCAAAGATGGGGTTATAGGCATTTGTACTTTTCTTTAATCATCCTATCACTTATTTTGACATTGTCATTCATATTATTGGGCTACAAGCCGTGTGGGTTGCCCCGAGTGGGCCTACGACGCCGTCCTCAAATATTTGCTATTTTAGCGGGTTGAGCCCAAAATAATATATGGGCTGCCCGCCCTTCCTCAACTTGTCTTGAAACGTTATGTATAACTATTTAGATAATGCTAGGATCTTTTATTTGTTAATAAGGCCCAAACGAGTATTCGCAAGCCCAACAATAATGTACGAGTTCGAGCGGTATAATAATCGATCATGAATTACGTAAAACATCAATCGTTTTACAATTGTTTGGGAATCAGAAATCCAATACATAAACTTTGAATTTTAAAAATCAAATTTTCAAGGACGTTCGGGTGCGGTGTCACAGCTTGGACCGACAAAGTTATGCACTTCGGCAATTTGACAACGAATAGGTATTATTATCATGCTCTAAACTATTTTAAGAGTTTCACGCTTTGCAATTTTCTTAAATACATAGAAGTATAGAACTTATACTATTATTCTCTCACTTGTGCAGAGCCGAGAGTGCACATGCAAAGTTAAAAACATGGCTTGGGTCAAGTCAACTAGATTTTGATTGTTCTTGGAACCTAATCAACTCTTTACTTGAGTTGCAACACACTGAAATCAAAGCTTCATTCCAACACAGTTTGAATGTGGTGGAGCATAATTTCACGCCTTCATTGTTTAGAAACTTGAGAGGATTAGTTTCTAGAAAAGCACTAAATTTGATTCTGACAGAGTCCAAAAGAGCAAAAGATATTGAGGGTGACACTGACTTATGTGGGTGTGCCATCAGAATCACTCACGAATTGCCTTGTGCACATGAAATTGCTAAGCATGTAAGACATTGTAACCCCATTCCTCTTTCAGATATTCACCCTCATTGGATGCATTTAAACTTGAAAGAATATAAGACCAGTGAAAATGTGGCTGAGGTGAGTATTGATTTTGAGATGAACTTAATATGGTCAAGATTTTATGCTTCTAATCATACAGGAAAGTTGGCATTGAAAAGAAAGTTAAGAGAACTAGGTGACCCGACAACTACATTCCTTACTCCACCATCTGAGAAACCTAAAACAAAGGGTCGTCCTTCGTTGAAGGCAACAGAATCAACTCGACGTGATCCATCATACTTTGAAATTGTTGAATCAGAGGTATTATCAAGACAGGATGCTGAAGTAAAAGAAAATCTTGTTGTAGCTCAAAAGAAGAAGAAAGTTGTTGTAAAAAGATTCAAATCTCTTGAAAAACAATTGGATTCTTTTCCATCATATTTACATCCATATATCTTAGACGTAAATGATGTCAAACCAGATGGTCATTGTGGTTTTCGTGCCATTTCTGCTTTATTGGGTTATGGAGAGGATAATTGGTCAAAGATACGTGAAGACTTAATTGAAGAACTATGCAATCACAGATCATATTATGTTAAATTTTATGAATCACTGGAACTTGTTGCTAAATTGCTTGAAGAACTGTCGTGTTTTGTAGTTCCAGCCCCATACAAGAACTGGATGACTTTACCAGACATGGGTCATTTGGTTTCCTCTAAATATAATGTGGTGCTAGTCTTTCTTTCAAAACAAGCATGTAACACATTTCTCCCTCTTCGATCTACTCCACCAGCACAACAACATCATAAAGTCTTAGTGATTGGATTTATAAATAACAATCACTATGTCCAGGTACGTACTCATTCGGTACTTTACATCTAAACATTGATATTACATCTTGACAGTTAACCTGGATTCATATAAAATGATTGTAGGTTTCTCTTGATCCTAATGCGCCAATACCACCCATTGTTCCTCATTGGAAACGATTTCGGCTTGATTCTGATATAGGATGGGATACCCCATATTTATCTCGTATTAAGGAGTTCAATGACATTCTATCCGCACAACCGAATGTTCGTAGGGATGAAGTTATTATCTTAGATGAGTCATAGTATGTGATATATTATTCTTTTATGATTAATCTACAATTAACACGAGAATCCCAATTCCCAATTAACTAATTAATCTACATTTATTTTTCAGGTTGAGAAGGTAATGTGTCAGGAGGACAAGTTTGGAATAGCGCTGGAAGAAGATAGCACTAATGGAATTTTAGTAGTTAAAAAAGATGCATATTGAATTTATAAATGTAAAGAAAAATTCATTTGTTTCAATTTTTTGCATTAATAGTATTTATCAAGCTCAACAAATTGTGGTACGTATGTTTTGGTGTTTTCATTACTTACTTCATCACTTTTTTTAATCTTATTCTAATTTTACTAGGGTTGTGTAGTTTGTATGAGGATCTAATTTTCTAAATATTTAATCTGCATTCAGTAACACATAATTATATAAAAATTCAGATAGTGAATCTGTAATGTGTTGTTACAATGAAAATGAAAATTATAAAAAAAAACAGGACTCACGCTAGTTTAAATAGCAAGTTGCATAGAGTAAAAGAAGAAGTCTCAAGACAGAACATACCGGTATATTGGTATTTGCATCACTGCTAGCCTTTTCTTTCTCAGCAACAAAGCTTTTTGTTACATTAATATCTGCCAAACCACGAACTCTACCAGCTTGCCTATATCAAAATTTCAACGTTTAGCAAAGATCTGTGTACCAAGAACTAAGACAGAATCTAAAATAAAAGGCCCATGTTCATTGCCAGAAAAAAATCACCTCACATGCCTTAGGCCATCAACACCATTCTTTCTAATTTGCTCCTCCTCCCCATTATTCAACAACTCAGAAATGCTAAACTGGTGCAATCTTCGGTATGTCTTCTGTTATTGCTGAAGCAATTCCATGGATTTCTTGTGCTCAACCTTTAGCGGTTCTATCTCAATTTCACTTGCTGCAAGATAATCTTGTTTCTGTTTTCATATAGAGAGCATAAAAACTGCAGTTTTAAGCATTCTCGAATATAATCCTCAAAGTTTCATATTTGAAAGCATAAATAGCATTTGAAGGCATAAATGGCGAAAAAAAGACGACCAAAATACATGTGAAGAGCAATTCAATACCAAAATACCAACCTCAAATTCACTGAAACATCAAGTTTTAGAGTCATCAAAGCTTTTCCCTTGACCAAAATTATGAATAGTAAAAAATTAAACAATTAACAAGTCTTTGAAACAATTAACAAGAATAGTAAGAGACCAATTCAACTTTATAAAAAAGGAGAAATTTTGATAGTGTAACAAACTGCTGGAAGGAACTTTAGCACTTCTAGGATTTTACACATCAATTCGTACTGACATTAAAGAAATGTCAACAATTAATTTGATATATACTATGCTCTGAATGTGCACAAGACATGTATGATAAAGCCACCATTTAAGACTAGATAATCTAATTGAAATGATTAATACCACCTGATTCCAAGTAAATGAAAATATTAATATTATAACCATTCCATACATATTAAAACAATGTACCCAAATGTGATTTTCTGATACAGTGATACTAAAAGCTAACACTATCAAAACAGGACTAAAACATAACACATTTCTACATATGGGATAGCTGTTTTTCCCCAATAAATACGAGTATATGACTCATTCATTGCTAAAAAAGAAAGCTTAACTATTTTTATTCTAAAAATAATTTTTTTTAACTGTGATTCCTCATCCCAAATTGGATATAAACATCACACATGCACATTTGACATCCCTCCAAGTTGTCGTATTTTAATAATAGATGTACTCTAAAATTAAGATGCTACATTCCTAATGTACATTACGCAACTTACCTCATGGAAATTAGACTTCTTGTTAGCTCTTCTGTGTGTAGAAACATTTACACTCTATATAGCTGATCAAACATCCTATGGACAATTACATTAGTCTTTATGACTTTATCACATATTCACATTTATCACTAGTTCACTACTGACTGTTGTTGATTTACTATGCAACTAAAATAAAAAACAAAAACTTATCAACATAACTGATAGAAGGAACCAAAAGAAATGCTGATAAGCAAAGGTAAATGGTTCAACCTCATTAGTTGATGAACAGAAAACATGTTAGCAGTTAGAGGAAGTAGCCAACATAGTACCTTATTAAAAGAAACAGATTCACCATTGGAGCTGAGACACCAAACTCTCAATTTCTTGTGCCCCTTTTCCTGAAAATGACCGAGTTGTAAGTGTAGAATTAAAGTGTAAGTCGAAAGTTTTTTTAAAAAATCAACATTTATGTGCCATTTGGATCTTGTTTACACACAGGGAAGGAGTGGGAGATGTGAAGTGGAGGAGAAATGGAGGCTGCCCAAGACAAGGTAGCCGCGGCAGAAGTTGCTCTGCAAAACTCCATTCTTCATCCAAGAATTGTTTGGCTTCTTTTAGCTCCTGACGACGACGGTAATGAGCTACTGGCGAGATAGATTCAGATCGGAGACATGGGGGAAGACGACCTAAGGCTGATCTAAGTCCGATCTAGTGGAGAATGGGAGGAAGAAGAAGGAACGTTGGAAATGA